TGGGCGCTGCCCGCCCGCGCGGCCACCGCAGCCCCCGGGACGTGGCGGCCTCCCCCGCTGGTCATCCAAGGGTAAAATCCGGGTCGGTCACACACGAGGGTGCGGTGGGGACTGCGCCTGTTCTTGGAAATGAAACACATTGGACCGGGTGGGGCTGCTGCGCACCCTCTCCCCAGGCAGGGCCTCAGGTTCGGAAACCCCCGAGCCCTCGAAGTCGTCAGGACCAGGCTCGCTCTGCGACCCAGCCAGACAGCCGCGGAGTAAATCGTTTCCGACTTCGTGGAAATGTAGGCATTTGCGCAGGATAGCCCCATGCCACCCGCGCAGTGGCCATCTGCGCAAAGTAAATCCCGAAGGGCAGGCCCCGGGGTTGGGACTCCTGGACTTAAATCACTTCCTTGCTTTTAAGGATCTCAACGGGTAAAACTCACCGGCTTATTGAAAAGTGAGTTAAGGGTGAGGTCCTAATGCCAGAATCCTGGAAGAGAAGTGACAGGAGGATCTAGATCTTTGTGCTGAGTAGGTAGCTGTGGACTGCTTGCTAAGCGTGCAGAAGCTCATTGGTTTAATCTCCTACCCTACAAGAAGATAGTCTTAAATTTTAAAGAATTTACCATTCTTAGCTTGAATAAAAAATTGCCAAGCCACTGGAGCAAGTAAATTAATGAACAAGAACTTCGGGGAATCCAGGCTGAAGGATTTAGGGTTTGTTATCCACAACACCAAATGGGGGAATCCATGTACTCAATTATTGTATATGACTTATCTTAAAGTACCACAAACCCAACTGTCACAACCATTGAATGAAATAAGTAGTTCAAAAAATGCAGTGTGGTTTTATGAAAGTCCAGGTCACCTTTGTGTCAACTTTGTGGCATATCAGAACTGAAATCTCTGGGAACTTTTGAACCAAAATACATTGTTTCTCTTTTCCTTACAAGGAAAGATGATTAGCTCTCAAGTTGAGGCATCAGAATTTAGAAGCCTGTGAAATAAAAGATGGATATGACTCATAATCCAAGAAAAATGTGGCCCTGGGATAGGAACTGAGGACTATTGCATTTTAGTTTTTGTTGACTCTTCCCTAAAACTCTAGTTTCTAGTATTTTTATTGCTTCCCAGATTAAAGAGGTACTATTTTTCTTGTAGAATATCTTCTAACATCTGTAATTGCTACAATGAATAACTTGGGGCCTAATTGAGGCCCAAGTTCATGTCTTCCTCTCTGTGTTCCACTTAGGTCTTAAATATACTCTTTCATCTTGATAATAAAGTAGTGTGAAATGTTATATCATGCAAGTACAACTGATTAAGCAGAAAAAGATCCAATAAAATGGCCTGTTTGATGTATTCTAAGGGCAAATAAAATCTGTATTTTTTTAAAAGCAGGATCCATTAGTGCTAACAGAAGTAAGGCGTATACCAAATATAACTTTTTATTAAAAGGAAGGGAGGGAGAAAATAAAAGAAAAAAGTAGAAAAAGATTAATACAACAAAAATGTATGTAGCAAGCAATGAATATTTCTTTAAAACAATATTTAGTGATAATATCAATGCCAATAACTTTATAATATGATGAAATTCTCTCCTATGTCTTCTGTTGTTGATATTTCTTAGGCAGCTGGATATGCAAATGGAATGAGAACTCTGCTAATTGTTGGTGTGGGTGTGAGCAGGTTGGGGAAGGAGGATGAGGGAAGGGCAGAAGAACGGAGATGTGAAAGGGAAAAAACGTGTAATGAGAAGCAGAAGATGAAAAAGGAGACAGATCCAAATAGTTCTTGAATGAGTGGAATGTTGAAAATGTTTTTGTGGTTTTTTTTTTTACTTTCTTATATAATCTTAGAGAAAGATTTTAACTGTGTAGCATTGCTAACATTTAATAGTGAAAGTCTATGTAACAGATGAAGCTAATTGAAAGTCACCAAGAGGACTAGGGATGTAGGTAAAGGGTAAAACATTTGTCTAGCAGCTATTCAAAGCCCTATGTTTAATCATAGCACTACAAAATAAACTACAAAAGAGAAACTATACCTTGGATAAATGTAGAATTTTTTTTTTCAAAACTCACTACGATAGATTTGTGGGATGCTGTCAACCACCACCTATTAACAAACCTTACTGACTGTTCTTAATATTTAACCAGTATTTCATGTGTACTTAAAATGTTAGGAATAAGAAGTCTGGATATGGAGTCAAACATCTGAATTTGAAAAATACTATACCCTTCCCAATACAGACATAGTGCTTTAGCCAGCCTCTTGAAGTCAAAGTTTACTCATTTGTCATAAGGAAATAAAACTAGTACCAGGGCTTTTGTGATGATTTGTGTTTATCTTCAAAATAGAATCAGCCAATAAAGTTGATTTTATTTTAGATGGTAGTAATTTATAAAATGACTTATAAATAGCCAATGCTATTTCAAATTCTCATTTCAGATATTTGATTAAGGAACCACCAAACAAAAAAGTGCTATACCTTTGGGGATATGATTCTTACTTCTTGATAGTTCTCATTAAGTGTCTGGGTTTTAAAATCCATACTTTGTAAGCCCCTTGTGATGAGGAGTTGGTTAATCACATTCTGAACTTTGTGTTTGCTAATATTCTTTCTAAAGCCCTAGATGAACATGGTTTATTTTCTGGAGGCAGATTTATTAGGGCAATGAAGAGCACATATTGATGCTTGGTAGCATGAATATCTCTTTATTGGAATAATTACTAGAGAGCTAGGAATTGAAAAATATTGATTGCATTTATTTAGTCTTTGCTATGGATGGAAATATTAAAGGCCATCAAACACTAGCATTGCCCTTTGACAGCATTATTTAATTCTAGCTACAGGGAATATCACAAACAAAAGCAGCATGAGTTATTTATCTAAGTTATGGTACTTTAGACATCAAACATTACCATAATGTTTAATATGATATCCCCCTTCCTTCAAAAAGTAAGTGTAATACAAGAAGGTAACTGCATTATAGATTAGTAGAAAATAATGTACTAAGTGTAAAAGCTATCCACAAAGAGGCCTGTCCAAAATAGTAGCCCACAGTAAACTGCTTAAGGTATGACACGTCTTGTTCTACAATAGAGTTGCTCCATGCTGTGTTTTTGTACATGCTTAATAGTCATGTGTAGCTTAGCAGCTAGGATGTTGGATTTGGGGAAAAAAGTACATTGCTCTTACCAGAGAAAGATTTTACAGGAGTAACTTGTAAAATTCATATATCACACAACTCTATTGGTCTCAGCCTTCCGAAACTGTTGACATTTATCATGAAAATCTTCCTGTTTCATTTTTTTCCATCCTTCTCTGAACATACCATTCCATCACTAAGCAATTCTTCCATCATCCTAATCCCTACCGGGCTATCTCACTCTTAAATATATATATATAACTTCTGTTAGTGATTCTGTCTCAGTAAGTTGCATTTGTGTCATACATCCTTATAATAGAAATTCTGGTAAAATTTTAAGTTAAAATTAAGATATATATGTATAAATATATAATTGCACAGATATATGCATACACACACACACACACACACAAATAAATTTGTGTTATTGCCTTTTTTTCAGGTAAAATTCCATGTTTTTAACCATACCATCCTTGGACTGTGATACTACTTACATTCACAACTACTTATGTTCACAGATGTGAACCACAACACTTGGCTTATTGTTTGACAGAGAGGTTACATGAACTTTTTTGGCTAGATTATTCTCAAATCTAGCATTTCCCCATCTCTGCCTCTTCAATAGCATAGCACACAGGCATGAGCCACCATACTTTGCCTCAAATATTGTTTAAGCAAACAAACATTGATTCTTCCTTTTCTTATCTCAAGCCTAGCAATTCACTTCACGTGATTATGCATCTATTTCTTTCTTTTTTAGGAAAGGGGTTGGGTGGGGTTATTTTTCTGTACTTTTATTTTTTGGCAGTTGTGGGCTTGAACTCTGGGTCTGGGTGCTGTCCCTGAGCTCTTCAGCTCAAGGCAAGCTTGCTACTACTTGAGCCACAGTGTTACTTCCTCATCTATTTCTTTAAAAAGTTTTGTTGTTGTTGTTGTTGTTGGTTGTGGGGCTTAAACTCTGGGCCTGGGTGCTATCCCTCAGCTCTTCAGCTCAAAGGAAGCGCTCTACTACTTGAGCCACAGTACCACTTCCTAAGAAGTTTTTGTTTTGTTTTTTCTTTTTTTATGACAATGTGTATTGATCAATGTCACCCCATTCAACATTCTCTCACATTCCTCCCAACATAGCCCTTCCCTGACTATTCTTAACTTTGTAGGACATACATTAAATTTTTACTGCATTCTCCCCTTTCCTCTCTTTATTGTCTACCCCTCTCCTTTACCCCATGCTTCCCCTTTCAAGTATCCATTTCCTTGTGTTTATTTTGCTGTACTATGATTTCGCCTCTCTAAGGAATTATACTGTTTGAGCTCTCCCCGGGTTCTACCCTATTTCAGTTAATACATTTGTGTCTACTTACTTACCACCCCGAGGTATTTACTTATGTATTTATAAACTAATTCTAGCTCCCACATCTGATAAGCTTTATCTCTTTGGGCCTTACCTACTTCACTTAACATGTTTTCCCAGCTCCTTCCATTTCTTTGCAAATGATGCAATATCATTCTTTCTAACAGATGAGTAAAATTACATTGTATATGCATACCACATTGGGTTAAAGATGTATTTCATCTGGCCAAGCACCACCTCACATACAAGCCAAGAAAGCCTGAAGCTCTAAGTTCCAACTCTAATACCAACAAAATATAGATAAAAGAACATCTTGATTCCTTCTCAGCATCTCTTCTGAGATGTTCAAAGTAGTTCAGACGACTATTACCCATTGCCTGATATACTACTGTCTTAATCTTTATCCTTTCCAATCCATGATACACAGTGTAGTCAGTGTGATTATTATTTTTTTATCATAAATACGAACATGCTGCTTGTTTGAATAAAAGCTTTCAGGAGCCAGGAGCTGGTGGCTCATGCCTGTAATCATAGCTACTCAGAAGGCTGAGATCTAAGGATTATGGTTCAAAGCCAGCCCAGGCAGAGAAGTCTGTGAGCTCAGGCTCTGAGTTCAAGCCCCAGTATCAGCAAAATAAAAAAACAAACC